CTAACACTGGTCATGTAGTGCATTATTACCGTTCAAATGCATGGTTTGAGTGACTTCACCTGGAACCTGTGTCACCTTCAAGTTAAAATCTGCCCTAGTTAGTGCTGTCCTCAATTTCCAGCACCAAGGAGGTTGGTTGTCATTACTGAGAACGTGCCTTCTTCACTTGATTTATCACACCGTATGCTAGAGCTGGCTGCTTTGAGGCTGTTATACTCCCCAAGGAGAGATTTATTGGTAGCAGGGCATCTTTCTCTAAATGCTGACGTGGCTTCCCAGCTGTGCCCCAAGACAGACTAGAGTCTCAGGCTGTGGCTGGCAGAGAGGAGGTAGAGGTACTGAGTGCTGGAATGTATGAGGCACTCACTGGATTTGGGCTGCTAGGTGGAGATGCCCTTACTGGACCCCTGGGTCATGATCAGGGCTGCCCTGCATGTGCAGGAGTCTGAGAGCTTTTCTTTTTGGCCTTCCACACCTTGCTTGGCACCCTAGCTCTGCCCCAGTCATGATGGCAGAGATGTGAATCCGGCCAGGCCCGCAGACCTAGGCTTGCCCCCTGCAGCAGCTCAGGGCAGCAGGCAGGCAAAGGCAGACGTTGGTTCACCCAGCCTGGGTCTCTGGACATCTTTGACCACCAAGGCAAACCAGAGAAACCCTGCATCCTGCCTGCACTTCCCTGTTTGTGTCCTGCTTTCATTTCAGTCTTACTTGCCAGGGTGGAAGTCACATGGATTGGGACATTGCTCTCACATCTCGTCTGACTTGGGTTCCTGTCTGGTGAGGGATGTACTGTGGCTTTAGGGACACTGAGGCCAGCTCAGAAGGAGCAGAGCGGGCTACACAGGGGGCACGTGAAATCAAAGAGGGAAACAGATGAAGAGGCTGACGCCAATTTGAGGTTGCTCTCCATGTAGAGGAAGAGGAGAGGGGCATTTGCAAGGTCGTGAGTGAAATGCTCAGTAGAATAGCCTGATTGAGATCCATAAACAGTTGGGAATAAGAATTCAGAATTTGGTCAACCTTATTGCCCACCCAAACCATATGGTTAGTTAGGTTAGTTAGCACCCTGGATTGAGCAGGGCCACGTGCCTGGCACTTGGGTGGGTTCCTTACTGCATCTCCACAGGCAGCATCTCATTTAATCACATCACAGCCATCTCAAGAAGAACAATGTTATCGGCCCATTTTTCAGATAAGAAAACCTAAAACCGAGAGAGGTGACTTTGAAGGATTTTAACACAAACCGTTTGACTACAAAGCTCACCCTTTTTAACCACCACACACACAGTTAGACCAGTCACGTCACTTTGAAGTACAAAGAAGGAAGTGTAAGCTGCATGGGGGACTCACCCTGCTTGGGCGGGGGAGAAGAGTCAGGACAGGGGAGCCGAAGGAATCACCCCATCCCCGTTCCCCTGCTTTGAATCTCCAGAATGACTGACACATGAGGGCTGGTGCCGAGGGCCCTCCCTGACCCCATGTCGAGCTGCTGCAGGTGAGGTGCACCAGCTTCTTGTCCATGTCTGGGGTCTAAGAAGGGCTTTCTGCAGCTCCAGGCAGCAGGCAGACAGCGGAAGCCATGATTGGCTTGGCTCTGCATGTGATTAAAGGTCAGGCCCTGTCTTTTCTCATTGGTCCAGAGTTCAGTGAAGATAATTTGCAAAGAGCACATAGTTTATCTGATCCTGCCTGTCCCCTGGGAGGTCTTTGACGTGGAATTGAACTTTGAACATATTCAGTCACAGGCAATAATGGAGGACACAGTGGCAGGGTTGTAGCACAAGGAGCTGCATCATTTATTTGGAAGGGATTTTTAGTACTAAATTGCTGGAAAAAGCAAAGGAGGAGTTGCTTTTTATTTTTAAAACTACAGGTATTTATTTGTCCTTGCATAGGATTGTGTTCTATTCCCTAATTTTCAATCAATTTCAACTATTTTCTGTGAATTTCTGATGTTACCAGAAGAGGCAAGCTTTTCATGGGTTATTTTTTGTTTGGTTGATTTCTGTGTTGAGTGAATCTTTACTGAACAGCTTCCGTGGGCCAGGTACCATGTTGGCACTGGGATGAGAGGCATGAGCTAGGCAGGTACAGTCCTCAGTGAGTTTGCATTCTTGTGAGGGGACAAACACATATATGAACCACTTAGTAAGATAGTTTCAGATACTGGAAAGTACTGTGGTAAATGGCAAGATAAAGGAAGGCTGCTCAGTGATTTTTCTTTTTTAAACAGCTTTATTGAGCTTCATTCACATGCACAGTTGACTCCTTTCATGTGTAGGATTCAGTGTTTTTTTTAAGTAACTCGCTGGATTGTGCAACCATCACCAAGTTCTAATTTTAGAACATTTTTGTCCCCCACAGAAAGAAATCTCATACTCATTAGCAATCCTTCACCCCTTCCTTCCCCTCAGTCTTAGACAACCACCTACCTACTTTCAGGCTTTATAGATATACCTAGTCCAGATATTTCGATTAAATGCAATTATACAATATGTGATCTTTTGTGCCTGGCTTCTTTCACTTAGCATCATGTTATCAAGATTCATCTGTGTTATAAAATGTACCAGTGCTTCATTTCTTTTTATTGCCTAATAATATTCCATTGAATGGATATACTACATTTTATTTATTCATTCACAGACATTTAAGTTGTTTCCACCTTTTGGTTATTATGAATAATGCTGCTGTGAACTTTTGTGTACAAGTCATGTGGATACATGTTTTCATTTCTCTTGAGTATATGTCTAGGAATAGAATTACTGGGTCATAGAATAACTATGTTTCATCTTGTAAGGAGCTACCAGGTACTTTGCAAAGCAGCTGCACCATTTTACATTTCCAGCAACAGTGTATGAGGGTTCCAGGTTCCCCAGGCCTCGCTGACACTTGGCATTATCTGTCTTTTATTATACCCAGTGGGTTTGAAGTAGTTACTTGGTTTGGGTTTATATTTCCTTAATGATGTTGAGCATCTCTTCATGAATTTATTGCCCATTTGTATATCTTCCTTGGAGAAATGTCTATTCAAATCTTTTGCCTATTTTTAATTTGGTTGTCTTTTATTGTTGAATTGTAAGAGTTCTTTATATTTTCTGTGTACAAATCCCTATCAGATATCTGATTTGCAAATGTTTTCTCCCATTCTGTAGCTCGTCTTTTCACTTTCTTGATGGATCATTTGCAGCACAAACATTTTTATTTTTTTTATGGAGGTATAATTGACATACCAGTTTCAGGTATACAGCATAATGATTTGATGTTTGTACATACTGCAAAATATCACCACACTAAGTCTAGTGTAAAAGTTTTTAATTTTGATGTCCAGTTTATCTATTTTTTTCTTTTGCTTATGGTTTTTATGTTGTATCTAAGAAACCATTACCAAATCCAAGGTCTCAAAAATTTTATTCATGTGTTTTCTTCTAGTTTTATAGTTTTAACTCTTACATTTAGGTTCTTTATTCATTTAGAGTTAATTTTGTATATGGTATGGGGTAAGGGCCCAAATTCAGTCTTTGGCATGTGAATTCCAGTTGTTCCAGCACCATTTGTTGAAAAGAATATTCATTCCCTCATTGAATATTCTTGACACCCTTGTCAAAAATCAGTTGGCCATAGACACAGGGTTTATTTCCCAATTCTGTTCCAGTGTCCTGTATGCCTTTCCTTATACCAGTACCATGCTATCTTGATTACTATAATTTTTGGGGGGGTATCATTAATCTACAATTACATGAAGAACATTATGTTTACTAGGCTCCCCCCTTCACCAAGTCCCCCCCACATACCCCTTCACAGTCACTGTTCATCAGCGTAGTAAGATGCTGTAATGATTACTATAATTTTATAGTAGTAAGTTTTGAATCAGGAAACATGAGTCCTCTAAGTGTTATTTCCAGATTGTTCTGGCTATTGTGGTCCCTTGTATTTCCATACTAATTTTAGAATTAGATTATCAATTTCTGCAAAAAAAGCCAGTTGGATTCATAGGAATCACATTGACTCTGTAGATCACGCTGGGGAGTATTGCCGTTTTAACAATATTAAGTCTTTTGATCCATGAGTGTGGATGTCTTCCACTTATTTTAGATTGTCTCTAATTTCTTTCAACTTTTTGAAGTTTTCAGGGTATAGGTCTTATATTTCTTGTGTTAAATTTATGCCCAAGTCTTTTATTCTTTTTGATGATATTACAAATGGAAGCTTTTACAAATTTCATTTAGAATGTTCATTGCTCCTGTGTAGAAATGCACCTGATTGTTGTATATTGATCTTGTATCCTGTGACTTTACTGAATTGATTAGTATTAACAGCTTTTCAGTGGATTGCTTGGGGTTCTCCCTATACAAGATCAGCTACAAACAGATAGCTTTGTATATTCCTTTCCAGCCAGGATGGCTTTTATCCGAGTGCTAAGTACAGCATCAGAGACGAACGGCGAGAGCGTATCCTTCCCAGTCTCGTCCCCGATCTCCGGGAGAAACCATCTAGTCTTTCGCTACGTCCCAGAGGGTTCTGAACACCCTACTTCTGTTTCAGTCTCCACCACCCACCCTGAGACCTTGCCCATGGCACGTGTTGCAGTTCCCTACACCAAAAAAATAATAATAATGATAATAAGATTAATTCGAAAGGGCCTTCCATTCCTGTAAATACGTCCCACACTCCCGTGACTCTACTCTGGTGCTCTCCCTCCCGGCCAGTTCCCTCGGACTTCGGTTAGCACATCGTACCACCTCTGTAGGAACACTGGGAAATATTTGCAAGTTATTTTTCCGTACACATTCTGACTACTTTGACTTCCACAACTCTTAATGCTGCTTGCATATTTCAACTTTTGCAGTTTTGTAGTGGATCCATATTCCTTTTCTTTTTTAATTCTGAACAGCCGGGGAAAGGTTTGTTTTAGGGCCACGCTCATTTCCACCAAAGGCCGGCACACCACATCTCCTTCCCTTTGTTCTGCCGCTAACAGTCAGGACCCTCTTTCTTTTCAGACTCTCAGCGTTCTCATCTCTCTTCCTTCACCATGAAGCTGATGGACAAATTCCACTCCCCTAAAATCAAGAGAACGCCGTCAAAGAAGGGAAAGCCAGCTGAAGTGTCTGTGAAAATTCCAGAGAAGCCTGTGAACAAAGTAAGCTGACTCTCTCTAGGTGTTTCTCCTGGCCTTTGCCTGCTTCGAGCAATATGTTTGTGCTGTTTTTAAATTCATTCCCTGGGGATTGAACTTTCAGTACAGAACATCTATTCCATAGCATTCCATGGTTCCAGGCAGGGCCGTCAGCGTCCTTGTGCTAAGATGGTGAGTGTTTCTCATGTTAATCAGAATCAAGCTCAATTAACTAGAATGGTTCTCCTTTTCCAAATATGTCATCCTCTGGGCATTTACAAATGCTCAGTGCGTAGTGTTCACACCCCAAGATGCTGCCTCCCTGCCCCAGAGGGCCCTGTGTTGCCCTGGCACGTGCACACACGTACGCGTACACACAGGAAGTTTGTGATGTCCAGAACATCCAGCATTAGGCTTTAGGGCCCATCCTCAGAGACGTGCAAGATCCTTGAAACCCAGCCAAAGATGTCCTCAGGCACTAGTAACTTCAATAGGACCAGTCAAGCCAGATATGTTGAAACAGCTGTTAATCTTCACCAATCCCTCCCTTCAGTCTAAAACGGCCATTTCAAGCTCTGTAGGAATCCAGGTTTCCTCTCTTCCAGGAGGCAACAGACAGATTTCTACCAGAGGGCCACCCTATCCCCTTGGATCTGGAGCGGCAGGCAGTAGAATTTATGTCCACCAGTGCTGTGGCTTCCAGGTCTCAAAGGCAGAAGGTCAGTGTGCTATTGAGAACAATTGGGTTTGCCTTGCCTTCTCCTGCAGAATCCTGGCCCCTGGTTTTGGGGATGGAAAAAGAAATCTATTGCAGTATCACTGTGTTTAGTTGGGTGGCAGTTGTGGGCCAAATTGTTCAGGAAACAGCCCACGGGACCTTGGGTAAAAGTAAGAGTTTATCCAAGGCCCCATGGTCCCTGGAGAGAGCTCTGTGTGCCATGGCCAAAGCTCTGGGGCCCTGTGTGGGGTTGGTGTGGGTGTGCTGCTTGGGCCCAGCGGGTTCTGCGCGAAGTGGGTGAGCCTTATCCTCAAGACCACTGTTCTTTCCTTGAGTTGCTCAGATGATCTGAATAGTTGAGGAAGGGAAGCGTGTCTCAAGTGTAAGTTGCTCTGTTAGACATAAGGCAAGACTCAGGGGTGTGGTGAGGCTGCCCCGGAATCAAGAGCTCAGGGCCCGGGACACCTCTTGTACCATGAACACTTACTGAGCCTTCTCTTAGCCCCACACTAAGTGCTTTGCATCCTCTTACTTAATGCTTGTAACCACCTTGAGGGGTGGAAACCTACTTTGCAGAAAAGGAAACTGAAGCTGTCAGAGATGTTAAGCTTTGGCCAAAGTCACACAGGAAGGGTGGTGACCCTGAGATGTTAAGGCAGCCCTCTTGAAACACTCACGATGCTACATTTCCTCTTTGTGAAAGCCAGGGTTTATTTTTCAGTGTCTCATTTATCTAAATGTTAACCCACACGTATAACTAAACATAAAACAAAATTAAACTTAGCAATGCAAAATAAAAACCAGCCTTGTAGGCAAGTAGATCCTAATCCTCTCATGATTATCCCGAGTGTAGTTCGTAGAGCCACTGTCCCAGCTGTCAGCCTAGGGCTACCGGCAGACACTGCCCTGTTCTGCAGACACATAATTCTTGAATTCTTGTGCACCTATTTTGTTTTGATGTTGACCAGCAGAATATCTTAACATTCTAGTCAAAAGTGGAGAAAATAAAGGTTTTTAAATCCAAAAGTCTTCTGTTGAGTGATCCTTCTTCCTGCCCCCTCTGTTAACTGACAGAGGCTAAAGGGCAAAAGTGAGGTATTCAGTGTTTGCCGGATTGATCAAATTCCAGATGAAGTCAAAGATTTGTCTGAACTGTTATTCTTATTACCGTCTGTTCAGCAGCCTCCAGCGGCTGCGTTCACGCCGAGTCCAAGGCGGCCATCAGTTGTCCTCTAACTCTAGGCCAGGCTGCCTGGAGAGATACTGACAACTGTTCTCCTGGTCACCCGTGATAAGAAACCTCCAACTGCTCTGTTCTTGGAGGTTTCTCCCCTTTCTTCATTATCCCAAAAGAGGTCATGGGGGAAAATTGGATGCCGAGGTGTCCTTCACTTAGTAGGGGCTCCCGCAAACTCCCAGGGACACTTGGCAACGTCTGAAGACATTTTCTGTTGTCACACTGAGAAGGTGAAGTGGGTGCCACTGGATCTGGTGGGTAGAGGCCAAGGATGCTGGTAACCATCCTGCAACCTCGTGCACAAGACAGTCCCCCCAACAAAGAGCCTTTTCTGCCTCCACATGTCAGCAGGGCTGTGGCTGAGAAACCCTGTTCTCAGGAGCTGTAGGTGGGACCTTCACTCAGGAAGAATGTTGCCCTGGTTTTTGGCCATCATCCTTTAAGAAGGGTTAACTTACTATGCTGTGCCCCAAGTCACCTGCATGAGACAAAGCTAGCACAAACCTGTCGTTGAGTAGAAGCCCACAGAGCTAGAAGCGTTGGCGTATCTGCCAACACACGTTGACTTAGACTCCGTCAGAGTAATCTTACAATTCTTCTGTCATTTGCTATCATTATTAATTATTACCACTGAGAGACTCTCTGTATGCACTCTTTCTCTCTTCCAGTTTATACGCATGACTTTCCCTGTATAAATGCATGGGAGAGAGCAGCTCAGGCTGTAGAAGCACAGACTCGGATCTGCCTACAGCTCACCGAGGGTACCTTGGCCTTGTCCTGGCTGATTTCACACACTGTCTCAGTTAGTCCTCACCGTAACAATGTGCACAAGCTTTTATTATTCCTGATTTGCAGAGCGTTTGGGCTCTGGCCCAAGTTTTCTTAGCCAAGATCTATTTTTCCCTTAAATTTTCTGAACAACCCTTCTGGACATTCTCAGTCACTTTCCTACGGTAGCCTTTCGATCACTAGAGCAGGTGTTACTCTCCCCATTTTGTGCACGAGAAGCTCAAAGCCCACTGGGCCCCAAGCCTGGCGGCGGCTGCAGACCTACACCCCTGGGCCTCACTGCTGCCCTCATGTAGGGTCCGGGTTTGGACTGACGGCAGCAGAAGGGGGCCTGCAGGTGGATGCGTCTGCCTCTGAGGTGTGTGGCTCAGCAGCTCCGGCAAGGCTGAGGCCTAGCAGTGCTCAGTCTGGGTTTCTCACCACGAGCTCTCCTGACTGCTGGCTGCATTTTGCAAGAAGCCAGAATCGAACAGCTGAAGGGCTAGGGAGATGCAGATGCTCAGAGGCCATTAGTTCTGGGAGTGGAGTGTGCTGGAGAGCTGAGGGCTGCACTCTGACCTCCTGAGTCGTCAGCCCCTTTACTAGGAGCCCAGGGCAGTGTTGGCTACTCAGTGGCTCACTTGATCTCTGCAGGTGACAGGAGAATTCTCCTTCTGCTCTGAAGTGACTCACCCCTTTCGATGACTCCCACCTCCAGGTCAGCCCATTCTTCCTAGGAAACTCGATGACACATGTTCTCAAAACACTTCCTGCTGCCTCCCCACATTTCATCGTCACTGGCTCCAGACACGTTCTCATGTGCTAGGATGGCAGGTCGTGGTCCCCCAGCCGCCTGGCCGACCATGGTTTCAGTCACATTTGTTGTCTGCAGGCATCGTGATTCCTTCATTCTGAGGGTCCTCCTGGCCCTCGGTGGATGATGGTGGAGCAGAGCAGAGAGCTCTTGTCTGTGAGGTGGAGGAGCAGGTGCCTGGCCTCTTGGCAACAGACAGTAAATAAACAATGTCGGGTGGAGAAAAGAGAGAAATAAAGTGAGGCTTTATGGGCTGCAGTGATGGGAATGGGGAGAGGTGCCCCCAGCTCGAGGATCTCATGTCAGTGTCTGCAGAGCACATCAGGCTTTTGAAGTTGTCTGACTGAGGAGCTGTCCCCTTCTTGATCCTATTTACATATTCTTCTTTGATATTCCTTTGAAATAAATGCCTCCACTATTGAATTTTTTATTTAAGATGACATTCCCCATCATTTTAGAAGAAAAGAGCTAGTGTTAAGAAGCCTAATCACTTCTTATTATATATCACTTACTTATATGTTCATAGATTATTGTTTAGGCCAACTTTTTCTAGACTTTGTGACTTTGTTTTCTGTTTTATATATTCTGTGGCCCTCAGAGAGCCCGCAGGTGGTAGTGTTCCTCATCTGCGTCACTCTTGCTGGACATGTAATCCATTCAACTCGAGTAGGTTATCCATTTTTGGATTTAGCCGTTTTATAGGTTATCCCTGATTTCCCTTCTCCCCCCAGCCAGCTGGGGCCTGGGTCACCGACTTTAGGGCCAGTCACAGGGGGTGGCTGGGGAAAGGACTCACAGGGGTGTGTATGCCCACTGACCGTGCAGTCGAGGTAACCCACAGGCAAGGAGAAAAGGCCCGGGCATGGGGGCTGGGATGCTGGTAAGTGCAGGGCTCTGTGTTTATTTTCCTGCACGCCGGGCTTTCCTCAGGAGCAGAAGGGCTGTGGATGCTGTTAGCATGATGGTAGTGATTGAACCGTTGCCTTCCGCTCCAGCCTCTTCAGCTTTTCACCCTGGAGCATCCTGCCCCTTCTAACCCTGGGGTCTGCAGGTCCTTGGGGAGCACCACATGGATTCATTGAGAGGAGCTACATCTTTGGGTTGATGTGGGAATCTAGCCAGACATGCTGGGAAAGTGGATTTTGCATATTAATGCCTCTGAACGGCCTCATGCAGTCCCTTGGAGCGTTGAAAGGCCTGGGGTCTCTTGGTTTGATTCACTGGATAGATATGTACCATGGACTTAACTGTTGGTTCTCTAAGCTTCCTAAAGCCATAGCAAATTAGTTAACTCTACACCTAACGAGATTAGTGGCGATGTCTCTGTGGTACAGGAGGAGAAGCGGATTCTCAAGACCTCAGGTGAAATAAGTCTCTGTTCCAGGAAGGGAATTCAGGAATGTCTGCAGACCTTTCTTGGGCCGGCCTCTTCTTCTGCCTCCACATCTGCCTCGGAATACTGAATATACAATCCTTAGAAAAATAATTTGACTTGGTTTCTGCAGCAAGAACCTTTTCCGTTTGTATCAATCTCGAACTAGTTTACAAGAAATTTTGTTTTATTTTTGCAAAATGACTCCTTTAATCTCTCTCCTCCCTCCTTATGCTTAACATTTCCTTTCAGAACCTGAGCTGGCTGGAAGAGAAGGAGAAGGAAGTGGTCAGTGCCTTGCGCTACTTTAAGACCATTGTGGACAAAATGGCTATTGATAAGAAGGTACTGGAGATGCTTCCAGGGTCCGCTAGCAAGGTGCTGGAGGCCATCTTACCCCTGGTGCAGAGTGACCCTCGGATTCAGCACAGGTGTGTTGCTCTCAAGTCCTCAGTGTCAAAGCAGAGCAGGCCTAGAGGCACCGTGGTTTGGGGGCACTTCAAACCCAAGGTCTCCAGAAATGGCGAGGCGTCAGGAGGGACGGGAGCTCACCCCCGCCCCCATCTCTCACCTGATGCCCTTCCAAGGCTGAGACCGTTGTTCTTTAAGAGGCCCCAGCACCAAGGAAGCTCTCCCATTGTGCGGGTGCGGCCACAGTGACGTCCATGGTGGTTCCTTTGCATTAGCTCTTTGGGAATAATCACATTGATTCGGACACATTTCTCCTAGCACCCTGTGCTGACCATAGTTTATTACATGCTGAGCCCTGTCAGTATCCAGCCTATTAGAGACCCAAGCTGCTTAGCTGATTAGGCCGGAAGGGGTTGAGAAGAACCCCCCTAGAGCACAGACCCGAGACACATCCCCGTGTCACAGATGGTGCCTGGACTTGGTGGAAGCCAGGCTGGGGGAGGGGGAGTCCGCCCTCATCTCAGTAGGCTTTTGTTGGGTAATGCTCTTACTGCTAGAGTGCATTTTCCTCTTAAAGGTCAGCAAGCAGCTTGCCCCTATATTTATCGTTACGCACAGAAAGACAAGCAATATTAAATGTAATCTTAAGTGAAAGCCTAGCAGGAGCTTTTTCTTGAGAAACTGAGAGATGCTGCTGGCTTTGTCTTTCTTCCCTGGTACCTGTCCGGGATAAATCCATCTGTTTCAGTTCTGCAAGATGGTCTGATGTTCATGTAGACCCATGGTAAGCCTCTGCGGCCTGCTTTCAGAACTTGGCACTGAACTGCACAGTTTTCTTCTGGGAGGTGAAGCAAACAGTGTCCTTATTCTGAGAGGCTCTCTGCCCTGGGGCTTTTCTGCTCTGGATTTCAGCTGACCCATGTAGGTGGTGGTCTTTTGGCTGGAAGCTCATTGAAGCCAGTTGGCGGTGGAGGATAAAATGCTGGTATGGCTTTGCCCTGCCTTTGCCTCACGTCTCCACGCCACACTGCTGTCATAGGAAAAGCCTCTGAGCAGAGGAGTCCATCTGGTGCCCTGTCTGTTGCTGCATGGAGTTCTTTGTGTGCCGGTCTGGAGAGCCTGGGGACCAAGCACTGTGTCCCTTGGGTAGTTACCCCGGTGCCCAGCCTGCCGAAGGGCCCAGCGCTGTCCTCCTTTGAGGGAATGTGCCCGACGGTTTGCTGGAGTCAGCTGTGTCCTTGGCTTTTCACAAAATGCTCCCATATACCTCTTTTCATGCGATGGTCCCTGACATGGAACCAATCTAGTTGGAAAAAACCAACTCCCCCAGCTACGACAAAGCATTATTTTATGGTACCTGATGGAAGCTCTGTTGGAATTAGAAGGAGGGAGAGTTAAAGAGAGTTGCGGTGGTCCAGTTAAGCTTCCTGGAGGAGGTGCTGGAGCTGGGCCTGAAGGAAGGGCAGGAATTGGATTGGCAGTGGGGGCAGGAGAAGGAGAAAGACAGGGGAGCTGAGGCCAGGGGCACAGTGCATCCCTGGAAGGGAGGGGCATGACAGCGTCCTGCCAATCACATCACCCTGCTCCCCAGATGCTAACCCTCTTTGGGAGTTCAGACAGTCCCCTTAGCTAAATCCTGTAACCATTGGGGGCAGGGTGTTGACACCAGGACTGCTGCTTCCTGCGTGTTAGCCAGCAGCCGCACCTGGGGGATGACGTGCAAACCCTGCAAGAATGGAAACAGTGTGATGATGGGTTGGAGGATGATGGGTTGGAGGCATTTTTTGTCTATGGGGAGGTTCTATAGTTATCTTATAGTTGGCAGAATGTATTTAACATCCGAAACAGTTTCCTAGAAGGAATAAGAGAAATGTCTGGGTATAGCCAGAAGGAACCACATGGGGTTTCTTGCTTGCTGGTTTTCTGGTAGTCTTTTGGCTAATACCATTTAAAGGATTTTTCCTCCTGAAATGCTGTCCATCTCCCTGAGATCCCTTCTGCACATGTTTCTTCTGGCTCCTTCTGTCCTCTCCTTGCAGTGCAGTCTGTGGGCTGGGGAGGTGTTCTCCCCACGCTGTGCTCAGCCGTGGGGCGTCCGGAGACACTTGAGAACAGGGCCCAAGCTTGGCTTTGAAGTTTCCAAAAACAGACCAGCGACAGTCTGCTGGCCAGTGTTTCCTCCTCCAGGACCTTCCCCCTTTTCCTAAGATCCCAGGCCCTTCACAGGGAGGCGTGTTCTGCTTCCCAGCCAGTAATGTGCAGGGTGGACACAAACGCCAGATTCCTTAGGTGCTTTCAGGGAAAGGTTACCATCTGATGCAGAAAGAAAGCATGACATGGAGGCGTATCCCTCGCCCCCTTTATGGGCAGTGGTCCAACAGTGCGATGCTCTGAGGGGTCCCCCCTGGCGGGAGGCAGCAGTCTACATGGGGAGGCCTCCCTGGCCTTGCAGGAGGAGGCGGAGTCGCTCAGAGTGTGTCCCCCTGCGGGGGGGGATGTCCCCCAGGACCCAGACCCCAGGAAGACGGCAGCTTCTGCCCTGCCCTCTCACCCTCTCCTCAGGGTGGGCCCCACACTCAGTGCTTTTCCTTAGAGGGGGCCTCTAAGGCAGCCAGCCCCCGGCTCCCTCGCAGCGCCTTCTCTTCTCTAAGTTTCCCTTCTTTCTGACGGGGCTCCATTCCTCCTGGCCCCTGCCTGTGGGAACAGTGCGAGTGGCCTGGCGAGCCAGTGGGAAGCCCGGGCCTCGGGGCAGGTTCCCCTCCTCACCTGGCTCTGGAGAGCTTCTCACTAGGGTGTTGTTCGTGTCAGGTTTCTATCTTAAATGGCTCCTTTTTAGAACCTGTTTTAACCGTATCTTAAAATATTATGTATTTCTATTCAGAATTACATCTTTGGCTCGTAAATGTCTGCCTTGTTCTTTTTCTTATGATGTTTGTTCTTCCTCTGTTATAATACATATTTAAAATGGAAAGATAATCCTTTCCATAATTCCTAGGGAAAAATAACCTTCAGTTATTTAAAAATACATGGAAGACCTCATTTTGGCCTGTGCTATATAGTGGGCAAGGTGTCTGTCCGAAAGCACTGGAGCTTCTGTTTCTGTGTGTCGGCATCACAGAGTGGCTGGGGTCTCCCCACCCCCGCCCCGGCCCTGCCCCCACCCCACTGGTCTCCTCGCCTCGGATTGATGTTCTGGAAACACTTTATCAGGGTGCTGATGCTGAGCCCATGCTAGGAGGAGTTCTAGTAAATCACAGATCACATTTAAAGGCTGTTCTTCAAAGGATCTGCCCGCTAGAATTCCACAAACCTGCTCACTCCTTCTGGCACATCTAACATGAATTTCAGTCCGATTCAGAACGAGAAGTCTGTGATGCTCCGACCTAGCCCAGGGATCAGCACCAGGAGGAGGGGAAGGTGGGGCACTGCTCAAGAGGTGTTACCAGAACCTGGTGGAGGGTGTGAGATCTGCAAAAGCATGTAAACCATCGTGATGGGATTTTTATATATGGGAAATGGAAAAAAAAATTTGTAACAGACTAGAATATAGAACTCCATACGGGGAGATACAGGCTCAGGGGAGTTTATCAGGAGGAGGTAAGGAAGGATCGAGGGGCACAACCTAGTCACCGTGAAACTGGTTTTATGCCACGTGGCTACCTTACAGTGATGATCAGGCTTTAGATTTTTAACATTCTTTTTAAAAATCTTCTCTTCCCTCCAGCTCAGCCCTTTCCTCCTGCTATAGCCGGGTGTACCAAAGCCTCGCCAACCTCATCCGCTGGTCTGACCAAGTGATGCTAGAAGGTGTGAACTCAGAGGATAAAGAGATGGTGACATCTGTGAAGGGGGTCATCAAGGCCGTTCTGGATGGAGTGAAGGTATGAGTGCAGAGGCTTAGACAGCCTCCCTCCCAGGTGTGACCAGTAAGAGCGTGTTCCCAAGCTTAATCCATACGAATGAGTGCCTTCCCACATCTCTGGCTTCGGTGCACTGCTGTATCCCATGGCTTTTTAATTCTCTCTGGTACAAATGGCTTCTACAGCACATGCCCTTGGAGTACTCATCCCCATAGCTAGAAAAGCTGCCAGAAGCAATCAGCCTTTCCTGAGCACTGCGTTCAATCTTCAGTGAGTCTTTATATTACAGGGCTTGCTGTGCAGGAGACAAAATGCAGAGGGAATTGTTTTTGCATTAACTTTTAACAAAATTCCTAGCTTGTCAACTGCTACCTTTCCATGTTCTAAAATCTCCAGAGATCCTTATTAAAAAAGCAGTATTCAGATGACTAGGAAATGCAACAATGTATGTAATATCCATGATGTGGTCTGAATTTACTACCCAGTAAGGTCAGAAACAATATAGTAGAAAGTTATGAATCATAGTTAAGGTGGGAAGGGAAGACATAGAGGGCCTGGAATTGGGGTCCGAGGGACAAACCCTAATTGAGAAAAGAAGTCCTAGTGGATGAGGAGTAAGGCAGAGTGTAAGGCATGAAACGGACGAGGGTCTGTGGGTCAGGAGGGCTGTGAGCAGTGGTAGAGGGGACCCCTGCTGTTACAGGAGGCCATAGAATGTAGTTATATTGCACTGGGGTCCAGCTAGGTTTAAATCCCAGTTCACCACTTACTAGTCTGTGAACTGGAGCAATTTATTCAGTTGCTCTGTACCTTGTTAACTCATGCATAGAATGGGTATAATAATGGTATCATATCATGAGATTGTAGGAAGAATTAAATTAGTTAATACATGTAAAGCACACAGATCTCAGCTGCTATTTATTATTAACTATACGGGTCTAGAGGTACACTTTCCAGACCGATCTCCTGGCTTGAGAAAACTGTGTGCTCCTCTCTGCGCCCTTCAGCCCAAAATAACAGGTGGAGTACTTACCCTCAGTCAAAAGAGTTCCTCCGCACTCAACCACACTCTGAGATTCCTGAGAGTTGCCTCCTTGGATCGACATCCCTCAGAAGCTGTGGAGAGTAGAATAAGGGCCCCCCCAAAGAGAAAGAGTTGTGGAGGGGAGGTCGAGCACTGCTTAGTGTTCCAAATCACACCAGACTGAATTGTGTTGCCTGGGGACCACTGGGTGGGTAGCTGCCCACCTCCAGGACCCACATAGGGCTGCTGTGTCTGCTGGGGACTTTCTTGTGTTCGTTTAGATGCAGGCTTGACCAGATGACATCAGAATTCTCCCTGGTGGCTCCCAGGTTCTCTTCATTCCCAAAGGTTTTGTAGGTCCTCCATTCTGTGTTTTGGCCCGTGAGACTTAAGGGTGTAGCCCTGGGTGGCTGTTGTCTAAGACTTTATGTCACTTTCCAGATTTTGGAGTGTGGTGACACACATTATCCCATTCGATTTTCCCAGTAGCTCTTTGAGGTCAGCAGGGCAGGCTGGGACATGATCGGGGTCATACTTCAGCAGCAGTGTATAGTCCTGGCTCACCCACCACTTTGCTCTTCCTGTCCAGGCTTCTGGAAAGGCTGTTAGTGAAAGTTGTCATTTTTCACGTGGCATTGCTTAGGTTTCCTTCTACCAAACAGATTATAATGAGATATTCAAAACAAGAACATCCAGAATAGCAGAGAGTTTCTGTGTATAAGGCTTTGTGGTGTCCCCAAGGACATTCCTTTATGGCATCAGCTGAAAGGCGTCTAAGAGAAAAGGTTTCTCTGGTTTTTTCCAGTTGACCAGTATGAGAGTGAGAACCTGTCAGTGTCTGAAAACAGACAGCTTTGCCACAAATGTTTTAAAAATATTTTAGCCAGAACTAAGATTCTCTAGGCGAAGAGCTCTGTAAATTCAGTTTTGTTCCATTTATTCAGGAAGCATTTGTTGAGAACCTCCTGTGCCAGGCAACGGGTAGAGTTGGGACTCCAGTGGTAAAGTGGCCCCGTCCCTGACCTGATGGAGCCTCGACGCTCAGGGTGGGTGGGGAACAACCAACAGGGACCTGTAGTTCTGTTCTTAGGCCTCGGCTCACAGAGGAACAGTGGCCCAGGGCCCTGCCTGGGTGAGCAGATGCCCTTCCTTTTTCAGGTGATCAGAGATGCTTCACCAAGGGAGAGACAGACAGACAGGTCAAAATCTGAAGGATGAGCAGGAATTGACCCGTGTCACTGGAAGCTTTTCCTAGTTGGAATCAGTCAAGGCAGTGGGGACACTGTACTGTTGGCATTTGCATAAGGTCTGATAGCAACAGTGGCTAACATTTATGACCTCTGAGTGCTTGTAATGGCTCCCCAAGGTGGGCATGAGTGCCCCGTCACAGGCGTGAGACTGAGGCTCAGGCAGCCCGGCAGTCAGTCAGTGGCAAGGGGCTGAGTCCCACCTAGGCCTGCAGCCCCAGGCCCTGAGCATTCACTGTCTGCCTCCTGCCTCCCACAAGGAGGGAGAGTCATAGCTCAGCCCAGGGGATTTCATATGTTCCCCCCTTCACGCCAGCTGGCTTCCAGCCTCTCTGTCCCCATCGGGCTTGGGGCACCTTATAAGCCCACGTCCCGGTGGTGTGAGAGAGCTTCAGTCAGCTGGGAGTGATGCACAGTGCAGAAATAAAACACATTCACAAGGATGTCGTCATCCCACTTGGAGGAGAAATGTTGGCACGTTCCTTTAAACTGACTCACCATCTTTCAAGTAACTCATGCAGTCACTAAATGGAATTTTTTTTGAAAGGTTGAGAAAGTGTTTTAGAACAGGATTGCTTTGTTTTTGTCCCTGAATGGGTTAGTACTGTTTATTATTTAAAGCCCCCGCATAAAGGTCAGTTGTTAGCCCTGTAACCTTGAGCAGGTTACTTCCCTGAGGTTCAGGTAGGTTTTAAAATATTTACCCTGAGGATTTGAAGAAAGATTAATTAAACGTATGTACATAAAGCACACTGGTGCCCACTAAAGTGGATAAGTACTGTTAACTATAGAAATGTTAATTTCTAGACCTGCTTACATTTATCAGCCCTGGACAATGACTGAGGCTTATTATCATGTAATTTTATAAATCTCCACTCAAAAGACAGACCTGTTATTGTCTGATCTGGACTGGCAGGCACTTTACCAGGGGGAGCCTGAGGCTCAGAGATGACAGTGGCCCTCCCAGGAGAGTTTAAAGGCCATCACTTTCCCATTTCTCTAGGAACTTACCCTCAGTCAACTCTCAGCCTCCCCTCCACAACTCTTTCTCTTTGGGGGGGCCTTATTCTACTCTCCACAGCTTCTGAGGGATGTCGATCCAAGGAGGCAACTCTCAGGAATCTGAGAGTGTGGTTGAGTGGGGAGGAACTCTTTTGACTGAGGGTCAGCCTAGGATCTAGCTGTTGGGGGGCTGAGAATCTCAAGTCAAAAGGATACCCCAGTATGTTCTTTCGAGACAAGCCTCCCAGTTACTAACTTTGCCATTCAAATTTCAGCCATTCCTCTTGTCTCAGATGTACAGCTTCTCACCCATCTCCCAGGGCTCTGTTTTGCTCTCTTCGCAGACCCTCAAGAGACTGCCATTCTCAGACCTACAGCCTCTTTTCCGGACCTCCAACTCTGTCCCCATCCCCATTCACACACACTTTTTTTCCCCTTAATTAAAAAAAGTCTTCTTACACTCACAACCTTGGGGAAAATTTTGGGATACCCGCTGTTCTGTCATTCAACCATCGCCACTCAAAACTGAGCTTGTGTACCAGACTCACTCTGTAAAACAGGAATATTTTGAAAGAAATGTTTTCCTGACTGTATCAGTTAGGGATTGGTTTCACTGCAAGAAATCCAAAATAATACTGGCTCTTAAGAGTTAAAACTTTATTTCTCTTTCATGTAGTCCAGAAATAGGCAGTCCAAGGTAGTATGACATTTTCACAATGTGGTCAGGGACGTATCTTCTCCCAAGATGCTGTCATGAACACATGGATTCAAACCTCATGGTCTAACATGGCTGCTCATTCTCCATCTATTATGACTACATTCCAGCCAGCAAGGAGGAAGAGAGAGTAGAAAGTTGTGCCCTCTGTATTTAAGGGAGCTTCCTCAGAGGCCTCATAGAACTTTCACTTACATGTTATTAGCCAGAACTTGGTCTCACCCAGCTAAAATTCTATTAGTAAGGAAGGACAGATCTTGTGGGGCAACTAGCTAGCTCTGACACACTGACATTTCAAATAAGCCATCTCTTTTATTCCTCATTCAGCCTATTTTTAAATTTTCTGATGAAAAATTTCAAACCTTTGCAAAAAAGAGAATATAACGCATCAGCCCCATCACATAGCTTCCACAGTGCCCACTCATGGCCTGTTCCTTCCGTACCTCCGCCCGCTCTCCTGGATGATTTGGAAGCAAATCCCGGACATCATGTCCTTTCATCTACAAATGCCAGAGAACATACCTCTAGAATATGGGAAACTTTTTCTGTAAAGGGCCAGATAGTCAATATTTTAAGCCTCTCAGGCTATATACAATCTCTGTTGTATATTCTTTGCTGTTTGCTTGATCGTCTTCAATTATTACTATTTTTTTTAACAAAGCATTCTTACCCTGAGGGCCTTACAGAAACAAGCCCTGGGGCTGGATTTGGCCTACGGAGTGTAGTTTGCTGTTTTTAAACAGTCTGTTTTTCAATTCAAGATCCAAATAAAATCCACACACTTAATTCATTGATATGTGTCTGAAGTTCCCCCTTCTCTCCATTTTTCTCCTTTTAACTTAACTTGTTTTTTTAGAAAGAGGGTGTGTTTCTGCAAGTTTTCCACATCCTAGATTATGCTGATTACCTCTGTGTGGAGTCATTCAGCACATGCCTTGGTCACTTGAATCTCCTATGAAACTAGAGGCTGCATCAATTCATGTCTTTTGTGTTTAGCAGGAAGCCTCCTAGGGGACACTGTGTGCTTCTGCCT